GCACTAACTCTGGGACAAGGTCAACATGCACTAACTCTGGGACAAGGTCAACATGCAGTAACTCTGGGACAAGGTCAACATGCACCTACTCTGTGACAAGGTCAACAGGCACCAACTCTGGGACAAGGTCAACATGCACTAACTCTGGGACAAGGTCAACATGCGCTAACACTGCGACAAGGATAACATGCAGTAACTTTAGGACAAGGTCAACATGCAGTAACTCTAGGACAAGGTCAACAAGCACTAACTCTGGGACAAGGTCAACATGCACTAACTCTGGGACAAGGTCAACAAGCACTAACTCTGGGACAAGGTCAACATGCACTAACTCTGGGATAAGGACAACATGAACTAACAATTAGACAAGGTCAACATGAACTAACAATTAGACAAGGTCAACATGAACTAACAATTAGACAAGGTCAACATGAATTAACAATTAGACAAGGTCAACATGAACTAACAATTAGACAAGGTCAACATGAATTAACAAGTAGACAAGGTCAACATGAATTAACAATTAGACAAGGTCAACATGAATTAACATAGAGGCAAGGAAAACATGAATTAATACAGAGACAAGGTTGACATGAACTTACACTAGGATAAGATAAACATGCACTAACACTAATATAAGGCATGTGAGGCTAAGGTAACTGAGATCAGCTACTACGTCATTTGTATTGTTTACAAATATTTACATTTATTTCCCAGTAATAAACATAATAACTCCCTTTATCCTCGGATTCTTTTTTTGCTCAAAACTTTTTGTGTTATTTGTTGAGAGGTTCTCGAGATATATTGTACACATGCTTTTTATTTGAAAGTTGTCTAGTGTGACCTTTGGTTTTAAAACTTGACCACCAATGAGCATCAAAATCTAATCAAGTGAGAAACATTTGATGGTGTGGTGCTATGTGTGGGTATAAATTAAGTCTGTTGAGATGCTCTTATAATGTCTTTTATTTGACTGAGAACAAAGGAAATTGAATCAGGTGTAAACCCTGGACGAGTGATGCGATGGTGTGAATAAGACCTGTCCAGAGGTTTGGGAGATATCTTATACACAATACAAGCTTGTTGTTCCAAAAGTGGTGTCAAGGATGACCTTTGATCTTTATGCTTGAATGCTGACAAACAAAACCTAACAGATTCAGACCTGAATAAAGTGATATCATTGTGTGAATGTTAACAAGAAGTAAAGTCTGTAATAGTGATATTTAACATCTTGCTGTAATATTTAATATCCTGCTGTAATATTTAATATCCTGCTGTAAAATTTAATATCCTGCCGTAATATTTAATATCCTGCTGTAATATTTATTATCCTGCTGTAAAATTTAATATCCTGTTGTAATATTTAATATCCTGCTGTAAAATTTAATATCATGCTGTAATATTTAATATCCTGCTGTAAAATTTAATATCCTGCTGTAATATTTAATATCCTGCTGTAAAATTTAATATCCTGCTGTAATATTTCATATCCTGCTGTAAAATTTAAAATCCTGCTGTAATATTTATTATCCTGCTGTAATATCTAATATCCTGTTGTAATATTTAATATCATGCTGTAATATTTAATATCCTGTTGTAATATTTAATATCCTGCTGTAATATTTAATATCCTGCTGTATTATTTAAAATCCTGCTGTAATATTTAATATCCTGTTGTGATATTTAATATCCTGCTGTAAAATTTAATATCCTGCTGTAAAATTTAATATCCTGCTGTAATATTTAATATCCTGCTGTAATATTTAATATCCTGCTGTAATATTTAATATCGTGTGGTTTGTGAGAATGATTCCAGTTGTATTATTTATTGAAAGCTAATTATCTATCGTAGCGTTTACAAATTAACCATGATCTCTACCGTAATGTTTACAAATAAACCATGATCTCTACCGTAACTTCAACAAATAAACCATGCTCTCTACCGTAACGTTTACAAATAAACCATGATCTCTACTGTAACGTTTACAAATAAACCACGATCTCTACCGTAACGTTTACAAATAAACCATGCTCTCTACCGTAACGTTTACAAATAAACCATGATCTCTACCGTAACGTTTACAAATAAACCATGATCTCTACCGTAACATTTACAAATAAACCATGATCTCTACCGTAATGTTTACAAATAAACCATGATCTCTACCGTAATGTTTACAAATAAACCATGATCTCTACCGTAACATTTACAAATAAACCATGATCTCTACCGTAACGTTTACAAATAAACCATGATCTCTACTGTAACGTTTACAAATAAACCATGATCTCTACCGTAACGTTTACAAATAAACCATGCTCTCTACCGTAACGTTTACAAATTAACCATGATCTCTACCGTAACATTAACAAATAAACCATGATCTCTACCGTAACGTTTACAAATAAACCATGATCTCTACTGTAACGTTTACAAATAAACCATGATCTCTACTGTAACATTAACAAATAAACCATGATCTCTACCGTAACATTAACAAATAAACCATGATCTCTACCGTAACATTTACAAATAAACCATGATCTCTACTGTAACGTTTACAAATAAACCATGATCTCTACCGTAACGTTTACAAATAAACCATGCTCTCTACCGTAACGTTTACAAATAAACCATGATCTCTACCGTAATGTTTACAAATAAACCATGATCTCTACGGTTACGTTTACAAATAAACCATGATCTCTACTGTAACGTTTACAAATAAACCATGATCTCTACCGTAACTTCAACAAATAAACCATGCTCTCTACTGTAACGTTTACAAATAAACCATGATCTCTACTGTAACGTTTACAAATAAACCATGATCTCTACCGTAACTTCAACAAATAAACCATGCTCTCTACCGTAACGTTTACAAATAAACCATGATCTCTACTGTAACGTTTACAAATAAACCATGATCTCTACCGTAACATTAACAAATAAACCATGATCTCTACCGTAACGTTTACAAATAAACCATGATCTCTACCGTAACTTTAACAAATAAACCATGATCTCTACCGTAACGTTTACAAATAAACCATGATCTCTACCGTAACGTTTACAAATAAACCATGATCTCTACTGTAACGTTTACAAATAAACCATGATCTCTACCGTAACGTTTACAAATAAACCATGATCTACCGTAACGTTTACAAATAAACCATGATCTCTACCGTAATGTTTACAAATAAACCATGATCTCTACTGTAACGTTTACAAATAAACCATGATCTACCGTAATGTTTACAAATAAACCTGCTCTCTACCGTAACGTTTACAAATAAACCATGATCTCTACCGTAACGTTTACAAATAAACCATGCCCTCTACCGTAATGTTTACAAATAAACCATGATCTCTACCGTTACGTTTACAAATAAACCATGCTCTCTACCGTAACGTTTACAAATAAACCATGATCTCTACGGTAACGTTTACAAATAAACCATGATCTCTACAATGTGAACACTCATTGATAATGTAAAGCTAATGGAATAACAGCTCTTTATCAATAACAAAACATGGTCTCTAGCTCAGGACATAACTTGACAAAATGATATTTATTCAAAATATAGTATATCATTCCACCAAGCCACACCTATTTCACCAATTTGACTGATTACATCCTACCTAACATGACAAATATAACACATCCTAGCTAAAAGGACAAACAGGACACATCCTAGCTTACAGGACAAACAAGACACATCCTAGCTTACAGGACAAACAAGACACATCCTAGCTTACAGGACAAACAAGACAAATCCTGGCTTACAGGACAAACAAGACACATCCAAACTGACAGGACAAACAAGACACATCCTAGCTTACAAGACAAACAAGACAAATCCTGGCTAAAAGGACAAACAAGACACATCCTAGCTTACAGGACAAACAAGACACATCCTAGCTTACAGGACAAACAAGACACAACCAAACTGACAGGACAAACAAGACATATCCAAACTGACAGGACAAACAAGACACATCCTAGCTTACAGGACAAACAAGACACATCCAAACTGACAGGACAAACAAGACACATCCAAAATGACAGGACAAACAAGACACATCCAGTTAAAAGGATAAACAGGATACATTTTAGCTTACAGGACAAACATAACACATCCTAACTGTTAGGACGAACAAAATGCATCCAAGCTAACAGGACACACAAGACACTTCCTAGCTGACAGGTCAAATAGGACACATCCAAACTGACAGGACAAACAAGACACGTCCTAGCTGACAGGACAAATAGGACACATCCAAACTGACAGGACAGATCAAAGGTAACAGGACATATCCAATTGACCAATACAATAAGACACAGCTTTGGCAGTACAGGACACATCTTGCTTCTTTAACAAATTAACAGAGAGACATCTTATAAAATAGCTACAGCTTATAGAATAGGACAAAGCAGCTGCTAAAAGCTTGGCTTATAGGACACAACTACCTCATAGAAAAGGACAGAATAGCTAACAAAATAGGACACAGCTTATAGAATAGGCCACAACAATGGCTAATAGTTAAGCAAACATCTAGCTGATGCAATAGGACAGGTCTCAATATAAATAGAAGCTTTGTTAATTCAGCAGTAAAACAGCAGGTAAAGTTACCAGGGCTACCTGTATATTATACTGACTCAGTGGACAGGATTAGTACACATACTAATGGATAAGTATTTTATCCGACATCATAATCGCACATAACAGCTCATGCAGTTAAATGATTAGCAAAGCTATAACTACCCAAATATGGTCACATGACTGATAATGAAGTCACATGATAAGCTTTAGGTCAACTATATATAGCATGGTCATATGACAGGTCATGCAGTTAGAAGGTAAGTATTGGTATACATGTATGGTCACAGGACAAATAGACAATGACGTCATGTGACATTTACAGAGCCCCCTCTCCAACCGGCCACACCTTGAGGGAGGATAGACAGTGTTAATAACTATTAAGAGTGGTAAACCTGTTATTGGAGCCCGGCTGAGCAGGAATGAGCAAGTTCTCCTTGCTCTCCAGTCGAAACAGTGTTTCAGCCCTCCTAAAGAACAAAACATTAATCAACTAAAACAAGAGAAAAAGAGAGTATATTATACACATGATGCTTCATGCGTTTGTTCCTTCTACCATACACAACTATTGTAGTACATCTGATTACAACATCTAATGCTACAGATGCTGTCAAACTGGACGAAATACTTTATCAAAATGCTATAGTACTGTATAATCATGAACAGACAACTCTATAATCTATATGAAACTTGTTGAACATTGGAAAAGTCTAGAATAGATCTCTGTAATACTAACGTGGAAGCCAGATGGAATTAGCAGAAAGCAATGGTTCTCATCCTACAAGATACAGGGCCCGGCAAAAGCACTTGTCTGCTCTTCAGGACGAGCAGATTTACCTGAGAAACTTTTCTTCTGGCAACTCGTTCCTAATCATTGGACATTAATTATGCATTTCTTTTGTGGGAAATTTTTGTGAAAAATGATAAAACTTCAGTACTTAATAAAGTAAGTTTGTGATCCTAGAATGAAAACAAGATGACAAACCATTGTTTCAGTGACCATGATTACGATATATAGTTTTGTCGTAGAGTCCCAGTGTTTCCAAGTTATCATTCAGTATAAGGAACACATACATATCAGGTTATCAGAATTGAAATAGCTCAGCAAAAACTACATTTCTGTTTTATCAGTCAATCAAAGAAAAATGAAAGACATCTACCATGAGACATTATAAAGAAAACAGTCATCCATATGATATATTATTATCCAATGTTAGTTATCTTTCCATAGTTTCTTTATTGCAATGTGTCGTGAAAGATCACCCATTTATCGATGTTTAAACAAGCTCTATCATTTGATGTTTGTTAAATCTTGTCTAATTGATTACACTTAATGTTGGTTACAGTTTTAGCAATATATTCACAAAATACCAACAACAGATTCACAACTGACCTGGATTGAATTAAAGCCTGATACACAATGTATAAGTGTAATATGCATGCTTCTGAAAATTTCTGATGTAAATTTTCCTGACTAGTGAATACCTCATCTGCACTGGTACTTTAAACCAGGCTGTAGTTCGACATAAACGGCTTCTGAAAGGTTTTGCCGGACCCTGAAGACATCTACACTACAAACAAGCCAGTTCACAACAACAAACTATCATGAAAATGGAAATGTTTTGACGTGATAAGTGAGTGGGGACTGGTGAAGGAATTTGGTAGTAGATGGCAGAAGTGGTAAAGTGAAGGCTCTCACCTTCCATCAGGCTTCTTAGACGACTCTGCAGTATCAGTGCTCAGTGTAGCTTGGCTCACATCCGTCAATCTGATAACACAAAAATGTTCATAATTCTCAATCTCAAGCCAATTTGGCTACAGTACATTGTTACCATCTGGTGTATGTTTTTGTCTATAATTTGTTTACCATCTCTTCACACTATTTTCGACCTTAGTGTACGCAGAGTTGCAGTATTGCAGAAAAAGTTGGTGAATTCCCTACAATCTCGTAAACTATGTACGTTAGTATTAGTATACTCCACATTTGTCCCATGAAGGTGACCGTGAAGCCATCGAAACATCATCCTCCAATCTTCTACTGAGAGTCTTATAAGAACTTAAGGTGCGGGTATAAATAGTTCCTTAGCCTTGTGGACCTGGGTATGTAAGGTGTGGGTACAAACAGTTCCTTACCCTTGTGGAACTGGGTATGTAAGGTGTGGGTACAAATAGTTCCTTACCCTTTGGGACCTGGGTATGTAAGGTGTGGGTACAAACAGTTCCTTAGCCTTGTGGACCTGGGTATGTAAGGTGTGGGTATAAATAGTTCCTTAGCCTTGTGGACCTGGGTATGTAAGGTGTGGGTACAAATAGTTCCTTAGCCTTGTGGACCTGGGTATGTAAGGTGTGGGTACGGGGACCTGGGTTTGTAAGGTGTGGGTACAAATAGTTCCTTAGCCTTGTGGACCTGGGTATGTAAGGTGTGGGTACAAACAGTTCCTAACCCTTGGGGACCAGGGTATGTAAGGTGCGGGTATAAATAGTTCCTTAGCCTTGTGGACCTGGGTATGTAAGGTGTGGGTACAAACAGTTCCTTACCCTTGGGGACCAGGGTATGTAAGGTGTGGGTACGGGGACCTGGGTTTGTAAGGTGTGGGTACAAATAGTTCCTTAGCCTTGTGGACCTGGGTATGTAAGGTGCGGGTATAAATAGTTCCTTAGCCTTGTGGACCTGGGTATGTAAGGTGTGGGTATAAATAGTTCCTTACCCTTTGGGACCAGGGTATGTAAGGTGTGGGTACAAACAGTCCCTTACCCTTGGGTACCTAGGTATGTAAGGTGTGGGTACAAACAGTTCCTTACCCTGGGACCACGGTATGTAAGGTGTGGGTACAAAAAGTTCCTTACCCTTGTGGACCTGGGTATGTAAGGTGTGGGTACAAACAGTTCCTTACCCTTGGGGACCTGGGTATGTAAGGTGTGGGTACAAACAGTTCCTTACCCTTGTGGACCTGGGTATGTAAGGTGTGGGTACAAACAGTTCCTAACCCTTTGGGACCTGGGTATGTAAGGTGTGGGTACAAACAGTTCCTTACCCTTGTGGACCTGGGTATGTAAGGTGTGGATACAAATAGTTCCTAACCCTTTGGGACCTGGGTATGTAAGGTGTGGGTACAAATAGTTCCTTACCCTTGTGGACCTGGGTATGTAAGGTGTGGGTACAAACAGTTCCTTACCCTTGGGTACCTGGGTATGTAAGGTGTGGGTACAAATAGTTCCTTACCCTTTGGGACCTGGGTATGTAAGGTGTGGGTACAAACAGTCCCTTACCCTTGGGTACCTGGGTATGTAAGGTGTGGGTACAAACAGTTCCTTACCCTGGGACCAGGGTATGTAAGGTGTGGGTACAAATAGTTCCTAACCCATTGGGACCTGGGTATGTAAGGTGTGGGTACAAATAGTTCCTTACCCTTGTGGACCTGGGTATGTAAGGTGTGGGTACAAATAGTTCCTTACTCTTGTGGACCTGGGTATGTAAGGTGTGGGTACAAATAGTTCCTTACCCTTTGGGACCAGGGTATGTAAGGTGTGGGTACAAACAGTCCCTTACCCTTGGGTACCTGGGTATGTAAGGTGTGGGTACAAACAGTTCCTTACCCTGGGACCACGGTATGTAATGTGTGGGTACAAACAGTTCCTAACCCTTTGGGACCTGGGTATGTAAGGTGTGGGTACAAATAGTTCCTTACCCTTGTGGACCTGGGTATGTAAGGTGTGGGTACAAACAGTTCCTTACCCTTGTTGACCTGGGTATGTAAGGTGTGGGTACAAATAGTTCCTTACCCTTTGGGACCAGGGTATGTAAGGTGTGGGTACAAACAGTCCCTTACCCTTGGGTACCTGGGTATGTAAGGTGTGGGTACGGGGACCTAGGTATGTAAGGTGTGGGTACAAACAGTTCCTTACCCTTTGGGACCTGGGTATGTAAGGTGTGGGTACAAACAGGGGACCTGGGTATGTAAGGTGTGGGTACAAATAGTTCCTTACCCTTGTGGACCTGGATATGTAAGGTGTGGGTACAAACAGTTCCTTACCCTTGTGGACCTGGGTATGTAAGGTGTGGGTACAAATAGTTCCTAACCCTTTGGGACCTGGGTATGTAAGGTGTGGGTACAAATAGTTCCTTACCCTTGTGGACCTCGGTATGTAAGGTGTGGGTACAAACAGTTCCTTACCCTTGGGTACCTGGGTATGTAAGGTGTGGGTACAAATAGTTCCTTACCCTTTGGGACCAGGGTATGTAAGGTGTGGGTACAAACAGTCCCTTACCCTTGGGTACCTGGGTATGTAAGGTGTGGGTACAAACAGTTCCTTACCCTGGGACCAGGGTATGTAAGGTGTGGGTACAAACAGTTCCTTACCCTTGTGGACCTGGGTATGTAAGGTGTGGGTACGGGGACCTAGGTATGTAAGGTGTGGGTACAAACAGTTCCTTACCCTTGGGGACATGGGTATGTAAGGTGTGGGTACAAATAGTTCCTAACCCTTTGGGACCAGGGTATGTAAGGTGTGGGTACAAATAGTTCCTTACCCTTGGGGACCTAGGTATGTAAGGTGTGGGTACAAACAGTTCCTAACCCTTGGGTACCTGGATATGTAAGGTGTGGGTACAGACAGTTCCTAACACTTGGGTACCTGGATATGTAAGGTGTGGGTACAGACAGTTCCTAACCCTTGGGTACCTGGGTATGTAAGGTGTGGGTACAAACAGTTCCTTACCCTTGGGTACCTGGGTATGTAAGATGTGGGTACAAACAGTTTCTTACCCTTGTGGACCTGGGTTTATAAGGTGTGGGTACAAACAGTTCCTAACCCTTGGGGACCAGGGTATGTAAGGTGTGGGTACAAATAGTTCCTTACCCTTGGGGACCTAGGTATGTAAGGTGTGGGTACAAACAGTTCCTAACCCTTGGGTACCTGGATATGTAAGGTGTGGGTACAGACAGTTCCTAACCCTTGGGTACCTGGATATGTAAGGTGTGGGTACAGACATTCCTAACCCTTGGGTACCTGGGTATGTAAGGTGTGGGTACAAACAGTTCCTTACCCTTGGGTACCTGGGTATGTAAGATGTGGGTACAAACAGTTCCTAACCCTTGGGTACCTGGGTATGTAAGGTGTGGGTATAAACAGTTTCTTACCCTTGTGGACCTGGGTTTATAAGGTGTGGGTACAAACAGTTCCTAACCCTTGGGGACCAGGGTATGTAAGGTGTGGGTACAAACAGTTCCTAACCCTTGGGGACCAGGGTATGTAAGGTGTGGGTACGGGGACCTGGGTTTGTAAGGTGTGGGTACAAACAGTTCCTAACCCTTGGGTACCTGGGTATGTAAGGTGTGGGTACAAACAGTTCCTAACCCTTGGGTACCTGGGTATGTAAGGTGTGGGTACAAACAGTTCCTAACCCTTGGGTACCTGGGTATGTAAGGTGTGGGTATAAACAGTTTCTTACCCTTGTGGACCTGGGTTTATAAGGTGTGGGTACAAACAGATCCTAACCCTTGGGGACCAGGGTATGTAAGGTGTGGGTACAAACAGTTCCTTACCCTTGTTGACCTGGGTATGTAAGGTGTGGGTACAAACAGTTCCTTACCCTTGGGGACCAGGGTATGTAAGGTGTGGGTACAAACAGTTCCTTACCCTGGGACCACGGTATGTAAGGTGTGGGTACAAACAGTTCCTTACCCTTGTGGACCTGGGTTTGTAAGGTGTGGGTACAAACAGTTCCTAACCCTTGGGGACCTGGGTTTGTCAGGTGTGGGTACAAAGAGTCCCTTACCCTTGTTGACCTGGGTATGTAAGGTGTGGGTACAAACAGTTCCTTACCCTTGGGGACCAGGGTATGTAAGGTGTGGGTACAAACAGTTCCTTACCCTGGGACCACGGTATGTAAGGTGTGGGTACAAACAGTTCCTTACCCTTGTGGACCTGGGTTTGTAAGGTGTGGGTACAAACAGTTCCTAACCCTTGGGGACCTGGGTTTGTCAGGTGTGGGTACAAAGAGTCCCTTACCCTTGTTGACCTGGGTATGTAAGGTGTGGGTACAAACAGTTCCTTACCCTTGGGGACCAGGGTATGTAAGGTGTGGGTACGGGGACCTGGGTTTGTAAGGTGTGGGTACAAACAGTTCCTAACCCTTGGGGACCTGGGTTTGTAAGGTGTGGGTACAAACAGTTCCTAACCCTTGGGTACCTGGGTATGTAAGGTGTGGGTACAAACAGTTCCTTACCCTTGTGGACCTGGGTATGTAAGGTGTGGGTACGGGGACCTGGGTTTGTAAGGTGTGGGTACAAACAGTTCCTGCATTTACACAGGTGCATGGGTGAAAGTTTGATATGGAATTAGGCAAAGAACTGAAATGAAATACACTGTCTTTCAGTCGTAATTCTACTGGGTTTTGTTTACCTTTTATGTACATGGCTGCCAGAAAACAAAAACAAAACACAAGCAATAACTACTGCGCAGGTTATACTAGTTTGTCACTGACACCTTTATTTATTATTTTAAATACATTTACTGATATACATGTACAAATTCAAAGTGCTAGTTTTATTTTATTCTATTTTACAGTCATGTTCTTATGATGTTGTACGTGTAAAGTTATAGCTTCAGTGACATTGCAACAGTCGTAAATTTTCCGTAACCCACCTCAGTTCTATTGATGTTATATCAATGTGGAATGAGTACACATCTATTGAGGTTTATCTATAAACATTGTTGACAGGACTTGTTACCCTTAAGGATATAAAACAATATTTGTATCAATTTAATACAAATGTATGGATTTTGAGTTATGTGTATGAGATAGGGTGTGTATCCAGGTATATGCTGTAATTCAATGACGAATGTTTCACATTATAGTTTTATTTTACATTTGTAATTCTGTCTACTTATATAAAAGATATCATTACTGTATAAAAGTATAACATGTGTTTATTTACTACTTATCGTTACTATATGTGTTTATTTATTACTTACTCATTACTGTCATGCTATGAGACAGATATCCGGTAAAAATAGGATCAATCTTTGATGTAAATTGTCTCTGTTCACAGAAACACGGCCAAGTCAAACCATCAGATAAGTTGGATATTTTATTTGGTCCCATCGACTTCCACTTATCTGTGCTTTACTGTGCTTGTCGCTCTGGGCATTAGGAATATACAGTGTGACTACAAATTGTTTCTTACCCTGGAGATTTGGGGGGTGTAACAGGCATGTGGAATTTGAAGACCAGCTCTGGCTGGAAGTTATCTTGATGGCAGTGGATACCATCACAGTCATCTCGGGTATCCTTGGAAGGGGTGAGATGCATGCTCTGAAGATCAGGGTCCAATATATATAGGTCCTCAGAAGAAATGTCAGTAATGTAGTGCAGGTGCTCTTGTGTTCTATCTATGCGGAAAAACCTCTCTGCTGTTGTGGCTGAATCAGAAACAATTGCTTAATACTTAATGGTTTGTAAATAAGATCTTGATTCGACAGGCCAGTAAGACACCTTCTTTGTTAAATATTGATTCAACATGCCAATAAGACATTTTTTTGTTTGTGAGTAAGATCTTGATTCAACAGGCCAGTAAGACATTTTTTTGTTTGTTAATAAGATCTTGATTAAGACAGGTCAGTAAGACACTTTCTTTATTTGTAAGATCTTGATTAAGACAGGCCAGTAAGACACTTTCTTTATTTGTAAGATCTTGATTAAGACAGGCCAGTAAGACACTTTCTTTATTTGTAAGATCTTGATTAAGACAGGCCAGTAAGACACTTTCTTTGTTTGTAAGATCTTGATTAAGACAGGCCAGTAAGACACTTTCTTTGTTTGTAAGATCTTGATTAAGACAGGCCAGTAAGACACTTTCTTTATTTGTAAGATCTTGATTAAGACAGGCCAGTAAGACACTTTCTTTATTTGTAAGATCTTGATTAAGACAGGCCAGTAAGACACTTTCTTTGTTTGTAAATAAGATCTTGATTCGATAGGCAAGTAAGATCTTGATTTGACAAGCTAATACAATATATGTACAACAAGTGAATAAAATAGTTTTTGTTAATACAATTTTTGACATGATAAGCTAATATGACATTCATTTGACAGTTACTTACAATCTAGGAAACACCATCTCTGTGTGAGTTTCTGAGAGCTCTCGGTCAGGTCATCCTGAAAATATGTAGTAAGTCAGCTCCTTTTATCTTCTCTTTAAAGTCACAATGTTTTAATGATATTAGAAATAGACATTAGATATAAGCATCAGTCCTGCTATACAGGGCTGAGATCCATTGTTCCTACAAAATTGATACCTCTTTAACCAAGCATGCATTAGCCTAAATTGGGACAACATCCAGGTATTTCTATAAAATTGGTTCCCTTCCCCTAAGGATGCTTCAGATCAAATTTGGTCAATATCTTGCAATTCATGAAGAACAAGATATATTTTAAAGAAACTGATAGATTTTCAATATTAGGCACCACTCCTGGGTTCCCCAAGGGACCCTGAGACCCATTGTTTATACAAAACCGACTTCCCTTCACTCAAAGATGATTCAGACTTTGGGACCAAGTGGGATAAAAAAGCAGGTCTTTTGTTAGCCTGAGTAAACAATATACAGGTTTGGTGTTTAAATGGTTTCAGGCTTGGTCTCATCATTTTGGCTTTGAGGTCAGAAAAAAAAAATGAAAATAAAAATAAATAAAAAACATGTTTATAGCTGAGAGAGCTTCCTTATCCAACATTGTTCTTTTTACTTACCTGGTCAAGTTTGTCGATGATGATTCGCACTTGTGAAAGGTCGGCGTTGTTGTCTACGACAATGAGGCCGAGTGGTACCGCTGGCAGGAGACATATAACAATAATCTTCAAACAGTAAAACCTTAACCTGGTACATTTACATAGATGATTTCAGGATCTCAGTAAACGTCTCAGTATGTGATATTAGAATCTCAGTGATGTGTGATATAACAGGATCTCTGTGATGTGTGATATAACAGGATCTCTGTGATGTGTGATATAACAGGATCTCTGTGATGTGTGATATAACAGGATCTCAGTGATGTGTGATATAACAGGATCTCTGTGATATGTGATATAACAGGATCTCTGTGATGTGTGATATAACAGGATCTCTGTGATGTGTGATATAACAGGATCTCTGTGATGTGTGATATAACAGGATCTCTGTGATGTGTGATATAACAGGATCTCTGTGATGTGTGATATAACAGGATCTCTGTGATGTGTGATATAACAGGATCTCTGTGAAGTGTGATATAACAGGATCTCTGTGATGTGTGATATAATAGGATCTCTGTGATGTGTGATATAACAGGATCTCTGTGAAGTGTGATATAATAGGATCTCTGTGATGTGTGATATAACAGGATCTCTGTGATGTGTGATATAACAGGATCTCTGTGATGTGTGATAAGATCTCTGTGATGTACTTTTCAAAAGTTTCAAGACAATGTAAAACATAAATATTCTCAGGTGTGTGATATAACAGGATCTCTGTGAAGTGTACATATGTAATGTCACTATATGTGTAATAACAGGATTTCTTTATATGATAAAGCAAAGTGTGATAAACAATTCATTTTTATTCATTCTCTGTCTGTGTATATAATTTTCTGTGATGTGTGATTAAATCCTTAACACTATAAATCCATTAATGTGTTTATGTGTGACAAACACATGTGTGATATAACGATCCTTGAAGCATATCAGGATCTCTGTCAACAGATTCACACATTATGTTGTCACGGCTTTGTGTGATAATAACTCTCTTGTGTTTACATGTGTGAGAGACTGTAATATATAACAGGATCTCTGTGATGTGTGATATAACAGGATCTCTGTGATGTGTGATAAAATAGGATCCAAAAATGTGTATATAAAGGCAGTCTGTGAAGTGTGATATAAAGATCTCTTGATGTGTGATATAACAGGATCTCTGTGATGTGTGATATAACAGGATCTCTGTGATGTGTGATATAACAGGATCTCTGTGAAGTGTGATATAACAGGATCTCTGTGATGTGTGATATAACAAGATATCTGTGATGTGTGATATAATAGGATCTCTGTGATGTGTGATATAACAGGATCTCTGTGAAGTGTGATATAATAGCATCTCTGTGAAGTGTGATATAACAGGATCTCTGTGATGTGTGATAAGATCTCCGTAATGTGTGATATAACAGGATCTCAGTAATGTGTGATATAACAGGATCTCAGTAATGTGTGATATAACAGGATCTCTGTGAAGTGTGATATAACAGGATCTCTGTGAAGTGTGATATGATAGCATCTCTGTGAAGTGTGATATAACAGGATCTCTGTGAAGTGTGATATAACAGGATCTCTGTGAAGTGTGATATAACAGGATCTCTGTGATGTGTGATATAACAGGATCTCTGTGATGTATGATATAACAGGATCTCTGTGATGTGTGATATAACAGGATCTCTGTGAAGTGTGATATAACAGAATCTCTGTGAAGTGTGATATAACAGGATCTCTGTGATGTGTGATATAACAGGATCTCTGTGATGTGTGATAAGATCTCTGTGATGTACTTTTCAAGAGTTTCAAGACAAGTAAAACATAAATATTCTCAGGTCCCTACAAGAACAGGCGTACTTTGATCACCTACATATGTAATGTCACTATAGGCTAAAACTGATTTCTTTATATGATAAAGCAAAGATTAAATAATTACATTTTTATTCATTCTCTGTCTTTATCAGTTAATTTTCTGATCTCGGATTAAATCCTTAACACTATAAATCCATTAATATGTTTATATTGACACAAACACAAGTTATGCTAACGTCCTTGAGCATTCATTATACCGTCAACAGATTCACACATTATTTGTCACGGCTTTGTGACAGATAATAACTCTCTTGTTTTACAGGAGAGACGTAATATTATAGCTCTAGAGCAACTTATCACCACCACCAAGAAAATCAAATTTAGAAAAATATCCAAAAATGTTAGTAAAGGCAGTTGGAGATTTAAAGATGTCTTATGTGTCAGAGTAGATGACTGTTAGTGCACCAAAGTGATAAGTTACAGTTACTAATGAATTGGGTGAATGTCAGGGACAATATACTCATACACAGCTCACTTTTATGGTTTGTTTGGGAATTAACACCATGGAAAGATTTCAGTAATTTAGTGAAACTCAGGGCCAAAACCATTAAAACTACTGATGCTTTTATCATAAAGTTGGTATATAAAACAGATCAAGTTTCCATCAAACCAAATAAAATAACATTTCTCCTCCAATACTATAGATGATTTTAAAACCAGTTAAAATGTATGAGTGTTAAAACAATAGCGACCTGACATCATTGATCTGGTAATGGCACTTTATAAATAGCATGCTTCCCAAACCAAAAATGAAAGCTGTTGTCTGAATATATAATAGTCATTGTTCTATTGTATAATCACCATGCCAATATATACTCATAACCTAGTGGTGTCTAACCTAAAGACCCTTATATGGTCAATACCTACTGATGTCTGATCACAAGACCCTTATATGGTCATTAACTACTGCCAACTGATCACAAGTCCCTTATATGGTCAATACCTACTGATGTCTGATCACAAGACCCTTATATGGTCATTAACTACTGATGTCTGATCGCAAGACCCTTATATGGTCATTAACTACTGCCAACTGATCACAAGGCCCTTATATGGTCATTAACTACTGCCAACTGATCACAAGGCCCTTATATGGTCATTAACTACTGCCTACTGATCACAAGGCCCTTATATGGTCATTAACTACTGTCAACTGATCACAAGGCCCTTATATGGTCAATACCTACTGACGTCTGATCACAAGTCTCTTATATGGTCATTAACTACTGCCAACTGATCACAAGGCCCTTATATGGTCATTAACTACTGCCAACTGATCACAGACCCTTATATCGTCAATACCTACTGACATCTGATCACAAGTCCCTAATATGGCCATTAACTACTGCCAACTGATCACAAGGCCCTTATATGGTCATTAACTACTGTCAACTGATCACAAGGCCCTTATATCGTCAATACCTACTGACATCTGATCACAAGTCCCTAATATGGCCATTAACTACTGCCAACTGATCACAAGGCCCTTATATGGTCATTAACTACTGCCAACTGATCACAAGGCCCTTATATGGTCATTAACTACTGCCAACTGATCACAAGGCCCTTATATCGTCAATACCTACTGACATCTGATCACAAGTCCCTAATATGGCCATTAACTACTGCCAACTGATCACAAGGCCCTTATAGGTTCAGTACATACTGTCTGATCACAGGCAACTCTACAGCTGTCTGATCACAAGGCCTTCATATAGTCAACTTTACAGCTGTCTGATCACAGGCCCTTCATATAGTCAACTCTACAGCTGTCTGATCACAGGCCCTTCATATAGTCAACTCTACAGCTGTCTGATCACAGGCCCTTCATATAGTCAACTCTACAGCTGTCTGATCACAGACCCTTCATATAGTCAACTCTACAGCTGTCTGATCACAGGCCCTTCATATAGTCAACTCTACAGCTGTCTGATCACAGGCCCTTCATATAGTCAACTCTACAGCTGTCTGATCACAGGCCCTTCATATAGTCAACTCTACAGCTGTCTGATAATTTTACTTTCAATCTTCAATGTTTTCTCATCCCAAAACCCTAATATGGAACACATGGTATCAAGTAATAAGATAGCCGAGATTAAATCAAAACCTGCAGGTTGTCTGATTCCACATGCATAAAAAAATTTACTTCAGTCTTTTCAAATTCAATTTCACCTAATAAAGTTAAAATCAATTACTTTCATAACAACGTAATTTGGAAGTAAATTGAAACTTTATAACTGTATCTAATAATTTGATATGGTGATCAGCAGGTTTTAATCAGATAACCTATGTTTTGAGTATATAGAGTGTTACCATGGTGATCAGCAGGTTTTAATCAGATAACCTATGTTTTGTGTATATAGAGTGTTACCATGGTGATCAGCAGGTTTTAATCAGATAACCTATGTTTTGAGTATATAAAGTGTTACCATGGTGAACAGCAGGTTTAATCAGATGACCTATGTTTAGAGTATATAGTGTTACCATGGTGACCAGCAGGTAAGTAAGAAATGTTATGTTTGAGTATATATAGTGTTACCATGGTGACCAGCAGGTAAGTAAGAAATGTTATGTTTGAGTATATATAGTGTTACCAAGGTGATCAGCAGGTAAGTAAGAAATGCATACACAGATCATCACCATAGTGACCAGTTGGTAAGTATATTAGCTGTGATCGTATATATATATATATATATATCCAAAGACCACATAGACCATTACCATGGTGACTAGCAAGTTAGTTTGTATATATATAAAGACCGTCACCATAGTAACTAGCAGGTTAGTTTGTATATATACATAAAGACCGTCTCCATGGTGACTAGCAAGTTAGTAAGATTTGCAGTGTGTATATACATAGATGTGATGCCAAGGCCACTGTTAATTCATGCAAGCTGTGATTACATGATGAGTTTTGATGGACTTACAAGCTCCACGCAGTTTGTCTTTATCATAGTTTAAATTCTCATAGTCAGCCATACTGATTCGGGACACTTGAATACGAAGCCTCTCGGGCAAAGATGGAGGACTGAAAAAAGCCAAGTCAGGACTATATATGGAGTGATACAGGCCCATGTAGCAGACATGGGCAGCCCCTAGAGACACAGTCGGAAAGTGTCAGTTATATCTGTATATGTAGATCTAAAACCAATCACTGACCAGTGAATTTACAAGATTTCTTTCATGATCTGTAATCAATTCATCTTTATTACTTAAGTTAAAAGTAAATAATCAATAAATTGTACATCAGATCAGTATCAGCTTTCATAAAGGATCCAAATCAGATCTGTAGATTTTATATACATATATCACTGACAGCATCTCCTTCACTACAGTACCTCATAGGAAATACACATTGACCTCAGTCAGGTATTCCCCGAGGTGTGTCACAGAGACTGTCATGTCTGCCCATCTTACATATACACAAAATGTAACAATCTATATATATATATCAACATATTGTAAACAAGAGGCCAAAAGAACCTGTATGGTTACCTGTTCTGCAGATCATACAGAGACAATTTCATCGCCAGAGCTTTCATACCATACCCATTACCAGTATATCTAGTGCAGACTTTTGGCAGTCCTTCATCACCAAAACCAACTGCCTTGTACCATAAGCCCACAGGTTATTCAAAAGTTGTTTAAAGATTTAACAAACCTGACCCATGTGACCTTGACAATAGGTAAAGATCATTTATATGAACAAGGAATCTTTAAGACAGCGTGCTACAGGCCCACTATCCTTACTCTGGGGCTCTTGGTAATTGAGAAGTCATTTTAAGGGAAAAGTTGATGCCAGACAGATACCATGCAATGGCATAAGTTCCTTGTCCCTTAAGTATGTGCACTAAAAATCTTTAGTGTTCAACAGATCAAATCAATTTATGTTCTAATCCATCATTTACCTCTAGATTCCACAGAATACAAATGCATTTATAAACCACATTATACAACCTCTCATTGTATGTTTTATACCTCCAACAGGACTGTACCTCCCACAGACTGGTACAGACCGGTACCTCCCACAGACTGTTACCTTCCACAGACTGGTACAGACCGGTACCTCCCACAGACCCGTATCTCCCACAAACCTGTACCTTCCACAGACCCCTACCTCCCACAGACCGGTATCTCCCACAAACTGGTACCTCCCACAGACCGGTATCTCCCACAGACTGGTATCTCCCACAGACAAGAACCTCCCACAGACCGGTACCTCCCACAGACTGGTTCCTCCCACAGACTGGTATCTCCTACAGACTGGTATCTCCCACAGACCACTACCTCCCACAGACTGGTATCTCCCACAGACCGGTACCTCCCACAGACTGGTATCTCCCACAGACTGGTTCCTCCCACAGACCGGTATCTCCCACAGACCGGTACCTCCCACAGACTGGTATCTCCCACAGACCGGTACAGACCGGTTCCTCCCACAGACTGGTACATCCCACAGAACGGTATCTCCTACAGACCAGTACCTCCCACAGACCGGTACCTCCCACAGACTGGTTCCTCCCACAGACCGGTATCTCCCACAGATCGGTACCTCCCACAGACTGGTATCTCCTACAGACAAGAACCTCCCACAGACCGGTATCTCCCACAGACCGGTATCTCCCACGGACCACTACCTCCCACAGACTGGTATCTCCCACAGACCAGTACCTCCCACAGACTGGTATCTCCCACAGACCAGTACCTCCCACAGACAGGTATCTCCCACAGACCGGTACAGACCGGTTCCTCCCACAGACTGGTACATCCCACAGAACGGTATCTCCTACAGACCAGTACCTCAAACAGACCTATACCTCACACAGACTGGTACAGACCACTACCTCCCATAGACCGGTATCTCCCACAGACCGATACCGACCGGTTCCTCCCACAGACTGGTACATCCCACAGAACGGTACCTACAGACCAGTACCTCAAACAGACCTGTACCTCACACAGACAGGTACAGACCACTACCTCCCATAGACCGGTATCTCCCACAGACCAGTACCTCCCACAGGTCGGTACCTCCCACAGAATGGTATTTCCCACAAACTGGTACCTCCCACAGACTGGTATCTCCCACACAGAGATACAGACCGGTACCTCCTATAGACCAGGACCTCCCACAGACCTGTACCTCCAACAGACCGGTAACTAGCACAGACCTGTACCTCCAACAGACCGGTATCTCCCACAGACCTGTACCTCCCACAGACTGGTATCTCCCACAGACCGGTATCTCCCACAGACCTGTACCTCCAACAGACCGGTATCTCCCACAAACCGGTACCTCCCACAGACAGGTATCTCCCACAGACAGGTACAGACCGGTACCTCCCATAGACCAGTAACTCCCACAGACCGGTACCTCCAACAGACCGGTATCTCCCACAAACCGGTACCTCCCACAGACTGGTATCTCCCACAAACCGGTACCTCCCACAGACCGGTATCTCCCACAGACTGGTATCTCCAACAGACAAGAACCTCCCACAGACCGGTATCTCCCACAGACCGGTATCTCCCACAGACCTGTACCTCCCACAGACTGGTATCTCCCACAGACCGCTATCTCCCACAGACCGGTATCTCCCAGAGACTGGTATCTCCCAGAGACTGGTACAGACTAGTTCATCCGACAGAACGGTACCTCCCACAGACCAGTACCTCCCACAGACCGGTACAGACTGGTCCCTTCCACAGACTAGTACATCCCACAGAACGCTACCTCCCAAAGACCAGTACCTCAAACAGACCTGTACCTCACACAGATTGGTACAGACCACTACCTCCCATAGACCAGTATCTCCCACAGACCAGTACCTCCCACAGGTCGGTACCTCCCACAGAGTGGTATTTCCAACAGACTGGTACAGACCGGTACCTCCCACTGACCGGCACAGACCGGTACCTCCCACTGATTGGCACAGACCGGTACCTCCCACTGACCATTATTTTCCTACCCTGCTAGGACACTTTTAGACTCTTCATCTTGATTTTCGGTAATGTTGACTCTGATAGTTCAAACCCTAATTTATTTTCACAAGCACAACTTTGTAGAATTCAAACAGCTTCAACAATATTTAATTTTCTTCCAACTGACCGAAGGTGTACCATTTCACCAAATAATAAGGTAAATAAGTTGTTATTTTTTATTTTATGAAAATCTGTTTGTAGCAGACGACGTCAGCCATATTGGATTTGGACGGTCAGTTATGGCATAATACTGTTGTGTACAATCTTTACAAAACATTATGTTATTGTTTAAATGACATGAATTATATGCGTACAAACTGTACATCATTTTAACTGAAGTCACATCTGTAACATTGAGCCTTACTCATTAGCGATGGGCATGGATCCTCGTCTCTTTGGTTTCATCACCATGTTGGCTTGGTTACGTAGAGTGATGTGGATTGTGGATGGGCCGAGACGGCAAGGCTCACCATCCAACTGCATGGGGATGGGTTTGAATGTTTTGAGCTTCACCTCATGACACTGTATTAGTCGCTCACCATGGCCCCCCATGTATAGTGTTGCCTGTAAAACAATATATGTAATTATATTAAGGATAGACACCAAAAAGTAGATAAATGTTTTTAGCAACAATGATCTAGAAAAAAACTAAATTATTACAGAACTTGTGACAGGAAATATGTAAAATTTTATCAATTTCGTACATTTTAGCTCATCATCACTCTCTGACAAATTAGCATAATGAAATGTGTGACCCTGGGGCTATGGAATTCACTGATTTGGTAAAACACCTTAAGATGCTTCCATCCATGAGAGCATTTGATTCTACCATATCTGGGTGTCAGAAGAAGATTTTTGAAATCTGAATCAATTATACTCTTTTCGCCCTGCCCCTCAGGTCCTTGTGGATTGGGAACTGTCTAATTCACTAATTTGGTTAATCTTAGGCCAGGGAAAGTGTCTGCAAAATTTCATAGATAGCGGTTCAAGAGTTTTTGAGAATTCTTTTTTAATTGTCTGCTGATGCACAACGCCAGACAAAGATGATCATAATTGGTCACATTATGTCTTTGTCTCAGGTGACCTACAAGCACAGATTGCTGGTATGACAGCCCACAAAAGGCATCTCCAGATGTATAAAAACCTATAGCCAGCTGTATGATAGAACATACAGAAACAAAGTCAGAAATTGTACATAGCACAATGACATTGAAATGGAATTATATTCATCGTGAAAAGCTCTTAAATGAGATAACAATAT